AGCAGCACAACTGCTTTGGAGGCACAGCATAAGCTGGACCCGTGAAACTGCTCAGGTTCCTGCTCCTGGCTGACCCCGTGGGGGGAAAGCACTTGTGACCTGCTGGACTCTGCCCCACTCCACCATACAGCCTGCCCAGCTCTGCCAGCATGACCGCGGCATGGACACGGCAGGAAGGGCAGGCGCCTTTGGGCAGATGAAAAGACACCCCCAGGGACGCAGAGCGAGGCTCCAAAGTCAGCTCAAGCTTCCCTGAGACGCTGCTGGTGCCAGCTCCCCTGGAGAGAGCAGTCCTGCCCCTACCAGGCTCCTCTTCCTCCTCGCCATGACAGCCACTGTGGGAGGGGACACAGAATTCGGGTCCCAGCAGGCAGGGTAACTGTGACGATTTCTTCTGCTAGCAGTGCTGGCTTCAAGCTTTCCTGAACCAACAGCCTTACCTGAGAGATAACACGGCATCTCTGCTGATTATCAAAGCCGTTGAGCCTTGGTTCAGCACACAGACAGCCAAACCTTCAGAATTTAGCTCTTCGGCCCCACCAGTCCCTCCCAGGTCTCCCTTCCACCTTGCACTTGCAGCAAAAGTCCTCTCCCAACATTTTCCAGCATCCCCAGAGCTCCCTGTTTCACAGTTGGAGGGGAACGCTCGAGCTCCCTCTTCCTTCCCAGAACCATCCTGGAAGCTCCGCTGCACTGCCAAAGACGCGCTTTCACGGCTGGTGGCAGTGCTGCCTGACGGACCGGACCCAGCCGTCCATTGCCCCCAGCAGCACCCCACAGGAACCGACGTGTGCAGGCAGAGGAGCTGCATGGCTGAAACCCACCCCGGAGTACGTGACGAATTAAAAATGTGAGCAGGAAGGAGCAAAAATGTGAATTAAAAAATACTAAAAATGTTAAAAAACAAATTAAAAATGTGAGCGGGAAGTGAGCAGGAGGAAACGGGAAGCTCAGGCTCCTTGTTATTTTGAACAAGGGACCAAAGATCAATAAACTAAAGATGTCTCAGGGCACCACAGTGCTTACTGCCGAATATGACCAAGGAAAAGGATGTATCACTACACAAACGCAGCAATGAGATGCTATTAGCTCAGAACAGAGCCAGCTTATAGCCTGGGGTAGGAGAGACTGCAAAGCGGCCGGGAAGAACAGCACAGCTGAGACCAAAGGTTTTATGTTTCACGTTGCGTTAGCAGGAGATTCACAAAGACACGAGAGCTTGCTCGGAGATTCACAAAGACACGAGAGCTTACTCGAAGCCACTTACCCGCACAATTATCCCCATGCGCTTGCTCTCGTAAGTGAAGGGGAAGATCTGGAGGATGGTGAAGTTCAGGATGTGGCCACCCGGTGTCCTCAGCTGCACGGAGGACTGGTCTCTGCCCACCAGCGTTAAACCCACACTCTCGGTCCACTGTACCAGGGCCACCTGAGAGGAGAAGGCCATGGTGAGGGCAGCCAGCCCACACCACACCTCCCCTGAGAGGACAGCGGGTAGGGGCTGCAAAGAAGTTCATTACTCGTCGATGGTGCTACAGAGTGGGTCTGTTCACGTACACAGGTGCTCCTATATGGCCCCTTCCAGTGGGCTTTTCCTGAAGTTCGAAGCTTACTAAGAGTATTTTCCGGGTGTGGGCAGCCCAGCTCCTGCGGGATCCAGCTGCCAGGCTGTCCTAGGCTCTCAGCAGGAGGTGGCCAGCTCCCTGCCTTTGCCTGCCACATCCTGAAGGACAAGCCTTCAGCTCCACCCAGGCCTGGGGTGCCCAAACCTCTGCTTGAACACACCAGGTAAATCTCTTTACAAACACTGACTTTTTGAATGTGCTATTTCCCAGCTTGCTGTTTATGAAATCAAGAATTCAAACCAATGCATTCACCCTAGATTTACAATATCAAAGCCAGAAACACTAATGCAGAGCACATTAAAAATTTATATTAAAAAAGCAAGCAAACAAAATGAGCTCTGTGTTATACTCCATCGGTTTGGTAGTAACAATTCCTCAACTTTCAACCTCCGTACTGATCAGCAAGACAGCTGAAAGCTGGCTCACAGACACTTCTTAGCAGAGAACCCTTTCTCCCCAGACATTAAAAAAACCAAGACAAAAACCCCAAAACAAACCCCAGATTTTTGAAGGCACACACCAGAACTCATTTAATTGAACTTACGTGAGCATCATTCTGATTGCAGCTTCTAGTATTTAAGGACTTACAACACTGAATTCTTTAGCAGCTTTCACTAGATTACAACCAGAGTCGCGACAGAAGACCAAAGCCTTTATTTTGCTTCCCTGATGATCCCCCCAGAATCCCCACCTCAGCTGACACATCCATCTAAAATTGAGCCTGCTGAGATACGGGAGTTTAACTCTAGAAGCTGTCTTGGCAGTAATGGATGGGAGCAGCAGCTGACATGAGCCCATATATCACTGGCCTCCAGAAAGGATCAAGGGATACTTTCTCCAAACAGACACGAAATACTGGAATTATTTTGCAGTGACACTTTCAAAGGCATGGGAGTGCTGGGCACATGGTTGCTGCTGACTTGAAGGTTAATTATCCCTTCTACCTTTCCGGTTCTGCCTTTACTGCCTTGAGTGACCACAAATACCGTAGACAAAAATGGAATTTATTTTGGGAAGTCACATACACAAGATACAGATAAAAATGGAATCCATAAATACTTGCATTGAGTCAAGATTTTACTAGATGAATTGATACAATTGGGTCTAATTGGAGAATCTTTTGTGAACTCAGCTCCCTTTCATCCACAATTAGGCTTAAAAGACAACCTAAAATAAACTTTTCCTTTCATAAAGTTGTCTTAAATCACCAGATTAAAAGAAAAAAAATTAGTCGAGTTGGCTTTACCTTGAAAGGCCTTTAAACCAATTTGAATCAAGATTTGTTTTAATATTAGCAAGTTTTTGCAGCCTTATTAACAAAGATTACAACAAATCCAAATGCTTTTTCAAAAGTTTTTTCAAGCCATCCTTAGTGCATTAAAGTGTGCAGCCAGATAATCCTAACAGTCTCCCAGCGCAGAGATGGAGCTCGGGTTTCTAATACTCTGGTTAATAAATAATTATCGAGAATCTTTCACAGCGTGATGTTACGTGATGTTCAGTGTGCGCAGCACTGGCTGTTAATTTGCCCATGTTGGTAAGCTGCAAGTGTCTGGAGATACAAATCTCTGCTCCCAGCTACTTTCTTTCACAGACGCCTCCTCCCTCCTTCTGTGCCAGTATCTCATTTAAATCCAATGTCAGGAAGCATTTAAACCTCCCGAAAGAAAAGCCTTGTGCAGAGGAACAAATGGATGAGCAGCCACGTCATGCACATGACACGCTTCAAACTGCACTGCATTGCGCAACGCCAGTCCTGTCGGATGGCCCTGAGACTGCAAAAAGGTATGACAATGGAAGGGGAAGAATAATTAAAGAAATCCCCCTTTTCCATGCTGCTCCCAAGCAGGCGTGGGTCCTGTCAGCCCTTAATGGCCCTCCAGGTGAACCGCATTCAGCACCAGAGGGGAAGTGGGGCTGAACCCTTTGAACACACCACTTCCCAGCCTCTATAGTACTTAATGAATAATTACTGAGAGAGAAAGTGATATAATTTTGAAGTGTTCCTATCAGATGTACTAAAAGCATTGAAATTACCGTCCCCATTCAACAGACAACACAATGGCCCCGGCATCTGGGAAGCGCTGCGGCACCAGCGGACAACGCCGATGGCAACAAAAGCACCGATGGCTCTTCTGGTAGGGTCTGGGCACCCTGGGACAGGGAGCATGTTCCCGGCTCGGTGGGAGACAGAAGAGGTTTACTTTGCTCTGTGCAAACAGATAACTAGAGGTGCTCTCAGTCACAGCGAAAAGATAAGAAACATTCAAGTTGCAAAAATACGTTCACAGCTTAAACCAAGGAGATTTAAAAGCAGGCATGAATCCCTCAAACACCTTCAGGAGAGCCCATGCTCACTCATGAGGGGAAATCCGTCCCTGACCGCACTCCAGGAGTTTGCAGCTCCATCCAGGCCAAGTCAGATACAGATCCGAGCAGTACAAAGCAGAGCAGCTACAGCAGCTCGCCGCACTATCCCCCAAACTTTGCTCGTTCCGACAATTAAATTACACAAGCCACCACTGAAGTGGATATCGACTAATAAATTTCATTCTAAAGAGACAAATTGATCCTTCTGTGCCATGAGTTGCTCTACCAACGTCCCATTTAGGGTTGCCTCGGCAGACAGACAACAGGCAGAAACCAATTGATTGGTGCACCCTTTCATGTCCTGGCAGCTGCAGCGGGCTGTCGGGGTTAAAGACTGTTTGCCCAGGAATCCCAGGCACTCTTATCTCTGATCAGATTATATCTATTTCATTTCCCCTGTTAGTTACTGTATGGCTACAACTGACATGCTTGCAGAGCCCCAAGGCTGTAACCGATATCTGAATAAAGATACTTCAAGACTTCTAAATGGCAGCGTGCACAGGAAACAAATTTAGGAAATCCTGCTTTCTGTTACAGGAAATGAATCCTATGCCAACTGGTAGAAATTACTCTTGCTGTTAAAGTACAGAGAATACAAGTTTTTGTACTCATTTCATAAACTGACCTTCCCTGCCATGGCAATATTTTATTGATATAGGATTTCAAAGGCTGGCTTTAACAGGAGTCCAAAGCCATTCCCCTACAGGGAATGTGATTTAACAGCATTGCTCTCTTCTCAAGGACTCGACTTGTGCTGATCCTGCATTTTGTACCATCTAGTATGACTTACACAGAGCATGTCTAAACAATATTTGTATACTGAAGACCTACAGACAAGATTTCCTCAGTGCAGCAAAGCATATCTGATTTCTAAACCCGCTGTAATTCTCTACTTAAGACACCACAAGAAAGGAAAAAAGAATTTAAACAATAATCTTGGAAGGATTAGTTATCATGCTATAGTAAAACAAACAAACAATAATCCCTTGGGTATTTGAGACAAATTGCTGCATAAATATTTTAAAGATAGAACTGTATAAAGTGAAAAAGGAAAAGAAAAATTACTGAATTCACTATATACCACAGTATATATGTAAATAAACAGAGGATCTTTGCAAAAATAGCCAGTAAATGCTTTAGGAAAAAAAAAAAAAAACCTTAAATGCAGATCACAAAAATTGCCATCTGGAAATCATTCAGAACTTGTTTCAATCCAAAGGCAGTCGCTTTCTGTAAGCTGTCTTTACGTGGGAGAGCAACACATTAGAGGAGGAAAGCAGGTAAGCAAAACACCGACCTAGATTACGTGGTGGGAGAGGACACACACATACACGCACACACGTGCACGCTGCTCACCAGCTAAGGCCAGGGAGGAGTAAGCGCTCGTTGTCACTGTAGGCACATCAGTGGAGGGGGCGGGGGGGAAGGCAAAGATGCAGCTTTTGTATAACACAGACAAGAACACATCATATGAAATTAATGAATTGCCTAGTTGGTAAGAAAAACACTATAGGGAATATTTTGAATGTACATGAAATGCGGAAACTAATTCTGCGCACCAGTCTTTCATTAATACATGCAACAATTTCAAAATCCCCACATAGCCGGGCTAACGCATAAATTTATTTCTATGGAAACAATTTCTCACCTCTAACAATGATGGAAGCCAGCTTCTCTTTTGATGCCAAAGGTGAAAAGGTTATTATCAGAGGCAAATCTGTTTTATTTGGGGCAATAAATGGAAGAACCCTTTGAATGTAGTCAAATGGGCGATATGATCTCATACCATCAGTAGGATTCTTACGGGAAGTTTCAAACTGCAGTCTCTTTCAATGGCATAGAGCAAGTGTAATCGTACAAATTAATAGAAAACAAATTGTTTTACCTTGGTTGCACTAAAGACGACGTATCCAAGAACCATAACCAATACATGAAACCGTATTTTTTATTCCTCCTGTCTTCATCACAGAGGGAAACAACACTAATTAGATTTTCCAAATTTTGCAGAGGGTGGCAAAGACCACTTTAATCTTAAGTCCTGTATCGAACCTGATCTCTCAGGTGTTCAGTAAAAGTCTCCAGTGAGTCTCTGGAGAGCTGCAAAGTTTCTCTCTACTGTACCACCCTGCACAGCCCTGGCTGGACTGGGCGCCAACAGAGAACTGGCAGGGCACAGCTTTGCTCAGAGACACACTCTTGTGCACTTCAGTTACTCTGCAGAATTAATTCGGGCTCTGGGTCTGTCTCGTCCGCATGGGAAGGGATGTGTCCTGGGTTAGCTGTGCTACCCAGCCTGATCTACAACTTTTCATTTGGTCTGGAAGTTTGAGCACTTTGCAGAGCAGGGACAAGCTGACTTGTGGGAGTGCTCTAACCCCCTCCCACAAGTCATCCTCCCCCCCAGACAAGACAAGAGTGCCTCTAACGTACCAAACGTGGTCAAAGGTACTCATGGCGTTGAACTGCAAAACATACCCTGGACAAAAGGTGCAGAAACATGAGCAAAACTCTGTGATGCCGAGGCTGATACAACAGACAGATGCTAGTCACCATGTAGCTCTGTAGCTTCAGGCAGAGAGGCAGATTTGGCTGAAGCATATCACCTGAGAGGGCACTTATGGTCTATTCATGGGTTATCAGTGCAATAAATGCATTAAAATATTATCCCCTTCACTAGACTGGAGTACTATCACCAAATAATTCTTTTTTTCAGCAACAAGCAAGGTCATGTATTTTTATACACCCAAATGGATACTGACCTCATCGGGACTGGAGGCCTGGTACACCCTGCAGGAGTCCTCATAGTGTCTCTCAGCTTCAGCCTGGTCCGTCACCCCGTTGGACTCGTACACCGGCGTCACGTTGTGGCACAGCGCGATTGCCTTCACCGCCTCATGCACTCGGCTGCTCATGGTTTTACGCACCTTGGTGGCTAAGGTAAGGCCCTTCACAGCAGGTGGGTCTTGAGATTGCTTATAAAAAAGGGAAGTGGAATAAAGTCTTATTGCAGAAAAAAAAGAAAATTTAATTTCATTTTTACTTCAGTGAAGACTGTATGCGTAGCAGCTGTGCAGACTCTTACGTCCCCAGCAATGGGGCGCACTCTTCATACACCTTAACTCAGACCATCACTGGGAACACACCCCAGCGTAACGCAACTTCTTTATCGTCATTACTGGGGGGGGTAAAGTGCCCCAAAAGATTTACCTAAGTTTTTGGAACACTACACCAAGAAAAAGACCCTTTGTTGCAGATCCACCAAACACTGACTGGTGAAAGACCAAAGTCAGAAGACTCAGTGAAACCGCTTCTTGCTCCACAGAGGACCAGTGGCTCTGAAAATTCAGAGTCAATTGGGTTTCATGTGCAAGAGAATATAATTGCTGCAAACAGAAAACAGATGACTCGTATAGACCTAGAAATCTTAATTACATTCATTTAATTTTTAATACTATTTTTAGTATCAGAATGGGAGTCTTCAGATAATTGCACAATTACTAAATTATCCTGGTTGAAGAAGGGACGCACAGTGATCTAGTTTCCTGCTCTGTTAACCTTTAGTGTCAAGAGGACAAAAGTTTCACTTCCAGGTCAAAGGCCACAACATGGTAAAAATAAGAGCAAAGAATAAGAACTACAGTTCAAAATGAATCATTGCCAGCAAATGCTTCTCATTATAAGGAATCTCAGTTGGTAATGATAAACGTTTTATGAGACATATCCTTTACCAGTCTAATTCCACATGCCATTTTCCACACTCTAGTGATTAGGACACATAAGATCTTCAAATTTAATACTGCTGCTCATCAGCACTGTTGCAATAGGCTTTAACCAAACCAAACAACAGCACACCCTCAGCTGAAGTGCATTCAGATTGACATACAGCACTGGTCAAATACTGAACTAGTCACAGTCACCAAAAGGTTCTTGACAAATATTGAATACTTTGGCAAATAATTAACCAGTAGTCAAGTTTTCTCTGGAGATTAAGTACAAAATGAGGGCAAATAGTTCAAGTCTGGTTATTTGGTTTTGGTTGTTTCGTTGGTGGGGTTTTTTTGTGGTTGGGTTTTTTTGGTTTTTTTGTTTTGTTTTAAGTACAGTTCAGTCATTTAAGGGTCTCAACACCAAGAGAAGAACCAGATGCTAAGAAGGCTGTGAAAGCAGAGGAGGGAGAGAGAGATAGCTAGGAGTTACAAGTTACCTGAGACACATGCCAGTGAAAAAGATAATTACTCAAAATACCAGGTATTTATCAACTATCATATGCTTAGTTAAAAGCAGATTGTAGCCTGACAGCCTGCCTAGGGAAAAGCTATGCCACCAAACAGATCACTGAGGTTAAGTAAACCCGCTGTGTGTCTTTACCACCATGAACAAAATCCAAAAATAAAAATCCTATTTACAGTAAGTACGTAGTGCCTTTTTCCAGGCAAGAATGCTGGCTTCATGTTTCACTTTGTGTGGGGTATAGAAAGCACACTTCAGTCTAAAAATCTCTCGAGCAAAGCAAAACCAATGTGACATGAAAAAGCCAGTTCACTGCATTGGGTGTGCATGCCCAAGGAAAAGCACAGGCACTTCGAAAATGACTTCTGCAGATTCTGTAGGAATCAAGCAACTCTACAACTATTGAGAAATGAAAATGCTTGACATATGACATGGTAGTAACTTATCACTAACATCTGCAGATTGTGTCTGTGGACTCACATTTTACAAAAGAGAAAATCTAATTGTCGGTAAGTCACAAAGAAGTTCCTTCTAGCTGCAGTTGAAAGAATGGTTATTAACAGAAAATGAAAAATAATGCTTCCATGATTACATAAAAGATTTAAGAATTGTCACTAATTGTAAGTACCACTGGCTGGAACATCAGCCACTGACAGCTGATTTTTTTTTTTAAAAGGTAGTAATATTCTTAAGTAAAACCTCATCCCCTGTTTTAAGAAGGAAGTCCGTGTATCTATATAAAGTTTCAATTGATAAGCATCTTGTCTGCTGTAACATGCTAAGGAATACAGTTTGCCAACCCAGACAAGTCACAGGGCATTACCTGGTTATCATACAAAACTGAAGTAAAAGTCTAAGAATAGAGATGAAGGCTTTTTAGATGCTGGCTCACCCAGCGATACTGAAAGAGGAATGCAAGGGAGAGACTTCCCAAAACAGGATTTTCCTGTTCTATAGTTTACATGTTGACTTTGCTGCCTTCTTTAGCTGTAGATACTTCCCAAAGCAGATGTCAGTTACACACCATATAAGATCACTAAGTGCATTAGTGAAAGAAACCCACTTTTACCATTTTCTTTTTTAACCATCAGGCCTAAAGCAGCAATACTGGCACACTGCTCTCTGTTACTGCTTATTAAGTACCTGTGATTCCTCTTCCTTTATTATTGCCCCAGTAAACAGCATTTCAAACAGCAACTTAATCCACTATGTATTACCCAGAGGCAATTTTTCAATGAAGCAAATGCTGTGGTTGCTGCAAGTAGTGAGTATCTAAATAAGAGTATGCTATTTTACAATCTGACATCGGTAGCAAGACACAAGGGCGTATACTTGCAGATCCGTGCACGTGCTGTGGCAGTTAAAGACTGGTGGATGTGAAACAATCTATGAATGTAATAAGCAATCATGATAATATTTATGTATTAAGCATCCAATGACCTTCATACTTTTCCAAAAAGTAATAGTTAATAGGCAGATCCCTGCCGTATCATTTCACCAATAGCCCAGTGACCTGAAAAACTGTTTGTTTGAAAGCTTTGCGAACAAAGAGTTACGTAATGCAATTTAATTCTACCTGTGTGTATATACTGAATATGTGGCTCTGCACTTCATCCATGGAGTCCAGGCCGTAAGCTACCGTTCCCAGGTGAAGCCGCTTGAAGACCATCTCATTCTGCGTAAGAGTTCCTGTAACAGAAGGAGCACCAGGCATGGAGCAGGAACTAACATGCCTATACCCCAGCACACGTTCTTGTCCTTGCTGTACCCCAAATTCAAGAGAAACTGGGCCAGAAGCTGAATCACACACTGCACCAGGCTCTCAGCACAGGCTGAGGCCAGCAAAAAAGACAATTTTAACAAACCTGAGGGCTGATTCTCCCAGGAAGTACTGGTGCACATCACTGTACCAGTAAATATGAATGAGATTTACCTCAAAGTCAATGCCAGCAAGAGCTGCAGGCATAGTTCTGGTCCTGTTCGAACCAAAGAAAACTTCTGGAAACAATTTCAATGGGACCAGGATTTTATGTCAGGCCAAGCTTTTCATTACAGCTTAGGTCCTCTGAATTCAAGCTCAACTTTAAAAGTGTAAGGACAGCAGCAGACAGACTGATGGTACGTTTCTGCCTACACATGTAAGCGATCTTCATCTGGCTTTGAAAACTAACTCTAAAAAGTTGCTTTTAATTTTATTTTTACGCTCAGCTTTTGGTTTAATAGCACACTTCAAGTGTTCTTTGAAGTAGCATAATATTCCTGTCCTATCTTTCTTATAGGGGGCTTTCAGAACAAAAAAACACAATTTTTTTTTTTTTTTCCCCCAAAAACTGATTAAATCATATTGTCAAAGTCACAGGAAATGCATATTTCTTCTAGTCCAAAGAAATCTTACACTATACTCTCTGGCTGGCCAAAAATGTAACAAAATCCAAACAGCAGCATACCATGACTCAAAACTCTATTTTCTACATAGATACCTGTTTTGTCTGTAAGCAAATAAGATATCCTCCCCAGCTGCTCAGGAATAGTGCTGGACCGAACCACAGTCCCAGGGATTTTGGAATCTCTGCGGATCACCCAGCTGTAGACAATTTTCCCCATGTCCAGATTCACACGTAAACTATGCAGGAGGAAGGGGAAAAAGAAAAAGAAAGCGTATCTCCAGTTAATCTCTGGAAAAAAATCATAGTGAACTGCCACAGTGCAATGAAAGGACACATCTTCCACACTGAACTTGAGCTGCCGAAGAGGGTGTTTTGGGAGAAGTATATTCGAAGTCAGTGGTCAGGTGGCAAATAGGGAGAAGGACTGTGCATTGCTGCAGTGGTACTGTACTTCAAAGATAGATGATAAATTATGTTGAGAAGAACAGATATAATTTGAAGGCAAGACGGACACAGACAAGTAAGGACAGAGTCATGGATACGCAGACAGCAGGTTAAAAATGGAACTGAAATGAATCCCAGACCTACACCGAAAGTAACATTCTACTTATTAATATAGTGCAATTAAATATTAAAGTTTCAGTCCCCTCTAAAAGGCAATTGGGTCCTATTACACTACTTGCTGTATAAATATCTCTTCTTTTCCATTTTTTGTTCTGCTCTTACCAAAGTAACCAGGCAGCCCAAACACTGAGAGAAGGGGCCTTAAATGACTAATCCACAGCCTGAGTTAAGAGTCAGCGAACGGGCGAATATGCTGAACAAATTCAGCAGAAACAACTAAGCAATTCTTATGTTTGAACAGTAATTTGGTTTCTATTTCTAGATTTACTTGTCAAATAAGGAATATGTAAGAGTTTACATGCTTGTTCATACTAGAAGCATGGAGAAGGATGCAAAGGAAACAGTATTTTGCTGGGAAGAATTAGCCATCGCCTTACCTAATGGGAATGATGTTTGAGAACAGAAGGAGAAATCTTATGATCTGAAGATACCAACGGCCAGCAAAGTGCTGAAGGGCCACCATGACAAGCGAGACCACCACAAGAGCCCCAAACAGGATCTTGGTAAGGCAGTTCACTTCCAAATCAAAAAGACCAATCTAAAGAAATAAAATAAAGACATTTCGAACACAGGAGAAGACATTAGCTCAATGTAATATTCACAAAGGGAATGAACTGCCATATCCAAAGAGCCATTCTCCACTAGTCAACTTCTCTTTTAAAACACTACAAACATATTTAAATTTATAAGTAATGTTGTTGCCAGCTTACTAAATAAGACTCCCATCCTTTGGAAGCTGAGCAATGCATGAAGAGGTGTGAGAGCACTCACGCTGCCCAAAGCTGCAGACTATATAAACATCCCTGCACCTTGTCTTAGCTCTGCTATAATAGAAGAATGCAGCAAAATAAGCTTTCCTATTCTAACTGGGACTATCTCACTATCACCATATAAAACAATGGTTTCACCAATCCTAAAAAAAGTGAGAAGACATACGTATAATAGGATCAAAAAAATAAGGAGAAATAGGTTCTGCTATGGTAGCTGTCCTAAATCATAGGCTGGAAGATACAAATCATTATTCCTATGAAGTTGTCCCTATAGTGTGTACGTATAGCATTTGGAAGGATTTTCTTTAAAAAATGATAAATTTCTGCCCCTTTTTATTTATTGCAAGACTGTTTCCTTACCATACCTTACTTCTTGGGTTTGAAGTATTCATCACACTGCGCAGTTCCCTTCCAGTGTAGAGGACAACTCCCACAACAGTACCTAAACAAAACAGAGCAGGCATCAGCTGAAGAAAAACAACCTCTGTTTGTTTTCTCTATAAAAATACTTGTTGGATCCAAAGGCTTGACAGCTGGAAAGGATTTTTAGCAGGTTAATTTCAGAAGCAATAGCAACCAGAAATTAAAAAAGCTGGTACATGAAATACAAAACCTATGAGAACACAGACTTTGAACACAAGACATCCTACAAAACGTCAGCAAGCCTTCAGCCACACTGCCCATACGGTTGGACTTGATGCAGCGTCACAGACTGCATCAACTAACGTGCACGGAAAGAGAAGTCACCTGCTTTGCTCTCTCGCCTTTCCCTGACCCTCTTTTGATGTCAGTTGTCTCTCCCCACTATAAAGAAAAGTTGCTAAGGATGGAGGATTTCTTTGGTTTCCTCCCACCACTTTGAATCCCACTTAGGTGTGGGTAAGTTTGCCTTACACCAGATACTGGTCCTTCATTTCGTGTCAAAATTACATCAGTTCTCTGGGCTACAGTTCTTCTTTATTGGTGAAGGTTGCCACAATCAGAGTAAAACCAATTAATTCCAACAGCTTTCAAAGACAGAATTACCTTATTTTAAAATCTACAATTTACTTTGAGTATTTGTCTAATTGCTGTTCCCACCGAAAGGCAAATCATACCAACTGCTACCTTACTGTAACAGATGGAGCTGCTGGGAGCCTATCAGTGTATTTTAATGCTGTGTCCCACAGTTGCTAAAGAGCTGAGAGCAACAAAGTTCTCCCTTTTCTTCTTGCAGAAACATAATACAGTTTAGCACCCTAAATTACTGGGTTTCTACAGACTTCTCTTGAAGACTTTGCAAAAAGCCATAAAGAAAAAGCTATCTACCATCAAGAATTTAAAAGCTGCTATTGCCAAAGTCTAATTTTTTACCAGAAAATTTTAGGGGTCTGTAAAAATGGAGAAAAAGAACGCTGAAAAAAACCCACTGCTTTTTTTTCGCAAATACATTGCCATTTTATACCCTGCTATTCCCCTGCTCCCATTAATGCTCAAAGTTTTAAGAAGCTGCAGGTGAATTATTTTTAAACAAGACTGATTCAAAAGAGGTGGTTTCTAAAAATATGCTGGGAAACATTCCTTTAAAAAAAACCCAAAAAACAAAAACAAATCACTGGAGCCAGATGGCAGGTGGTGGTAAGATCATCACAATTCAAATCAGCAGATGGCACAGCTACTCCAAATCAACCACAAACAGTCAGAGTCAGACCCATTCCTACTACAGCAGATGGAGAAAGCCACATAGCTCTGCTTTGTCTTACAAGCAAAGGCTGCCCCAGTGAGATGGCATCACCACAACTTGACAGCTTTCACTTGCAGGAGAAGAAAAATAATATCCACATTTTTTTCCTAACAGAAATAACCTACAACATGCTATTTATTATTACCATAGGAGAAACAAAGCTGAGTATTATATCGATCAAGTCAGTCAAAATGAGAGGAAAAACCTGCCAGGACTAGCAAACAGCTTGAAGGCACACTGGTATGTATAAAAAGAGCGTTTCTAGTTGTTTTATGGCCATTCAAAACAGACTCAGCCTGCATAAACCATTTGAAATGATGAAAATATTTGCAAATGATATTACTATTAACTGAACTCACAAAGACGTCTGTCTACAAATAACTTATTCAGAAAGGAGGATTAGATTCAAACAGCAAGTTCATTTGGGCAGAGAGGAGGTGGTTGCATGCCTTGGTACAGGCACCAAGACCACCCGGGACTTCCAAATGGAACTGAAGCGGCAACCAGGAGGAGCAGAGTGCGTGCTGTGCCCTCCTTTGGGAAAAACATCTGCACCCACGCGTATACACTACACGCAGCTGAGCGTACAGCAGAGGAACAGCTTTTACTCTCAGCAGGCACTGGCTGTGAGCATGCTGAGGGCAGGAGAGCATTCCCCTCTGA